ATATATATATATATACAAAATAGTCCCTTATTCAGTTTCAGGCTTGGTCATAGATTTCGTGTTTGATCCAAATACCTATTTCAGATTTTTCTTTCTTTCTTTCTTAAGGATTTGACTTTCGGTTGTTTCTGTATTTTTAGAGGGAAATGTATGAGAATTCATGCTCGCTGTTTCCATTCCTTCCACATGTTTCTTCCTTCCTCTACTCTCCTTGCAAACCAAAGAGGATGTTTTGGAGGGACAGTAGGCAATATATTATCTACTACTCCTTGAGGGTAAACCCTCCTTCACTTCTCCGTTGTTCTCCCCCAATTAATGTATCTGGACCTCCGGTCCTAAATTTGCTCCGGAATAAATAAATCCTGGTGATCCAAACGGGATTGCCTAGTTGGAGCAAGTCTGCCTTCTGCGGGCAATCTTTAGATTGCGAGTGGATCCGATTTGGGACCGAAAATGCCCTCCAAACTGACAACTTTTAATTGCTTTTAAAACTGCATGGGTACATTTTATTTTATTTCCTTCTGTGAGCCGCCTTGGGTCCCACTCCGGGAGAAAAGCGGCATAGAAAAATAAACAAATACAAATGTCTGTCCCTATATATAACTGGGCTCCTGGGAACAGCTTGGTGTAGTGGTTTGAGTGTTGGACCATGAATCTTAAAAACTAGGATTTGAATCCTCGCTGGGGCATGGAAACCCACTGGTTGACCTTTGGGCAAGTCACACTCTCTCAGCCTCAGAGGAAGGCAATGGCCACAAAAACAAAAACAAAAACCCCACACAAAACCCAACCCTTTGAAGAAACTTGCCAAGAAAACCCCATGATAGGGTCGCTTTAGGGTCGCCATACGTCGGAAACGACTTGAAGGCACACAACAACAACAATAAAAGAGCCCCTCAGGTCAGGATCCTGACATCCCAGGAGGCGTTCAGGGGATCGCAAAGGCGCGCCTCCTCTGTAGCAGGGTGGCCAGGTGTCCTGGTAACCCCAGAGGAGGACAAGGGGCCGCAAAATGGAGGACATTCACGGGGAGGGGGGAAACGGAGGACATGAGCGAAGCAAAACTAAAAATATTCCTAGAAATGTAAATGCTTGCTTCTTAGTCCTGCTCAGAATGGAAGGAAGAACTTTTGGAATTCCTCCTGGACAGAAGAAG